TGATAGGTATTTTTGATCTGACTTTACATCCCATTATATCAACAGGAACCCCCTATTTAAAAAAAAAAAACTACACTAATATATAACAAGACAGCTTTGCTTAAAAGAAAAAGCCTTACAAAACAAGGGTTTAAAACTTATATAGGTCAAATATGAGTTTGCAGTCTTTTCAATAGCCTGAAGCCATTGAATATCTATGCAAATTAAAGGAAATGCTTCATTATAATATACTTTATGGCACGGTACTAAAAAAAAGATTTAACTCAACATTTAATTGCCAGCTTTACACCAGGAACAAGAAGTGTTTTGTTGTGGCTGCAAGTCCATTCACAACTTCGGCCTCTTTTCGTCCCGAAACTGCCTGCACAACCATTACTCTAGGACTGGCCATAAATATGTACATTTATGCATCCATTATAAAAAAAAAAGACACAGCCAGAAGGTTCATTTGACAACAGTCACATGCATTCATAATCATAATTAATCATCATCATAACAGGTAGGCATTTTTCATGTCGGTGACATGATCCCTGTGCACAGATGTTCCACTGAAAATAATGTTGCATTTAGGAGGTCAGTAGATGGCTACATAACTGTTTTTCTGTCTATAGCTGAGAAACGCTTTCCTCATGAGGGAAAAACAGTACACAATGACAAAAAAGGGAAACTTATTATGACACAATTAAGAAATTTACCAGCCGGACTTAATGGAGAAAAAACATGATGTTACAGTGTATTCCAAACGTCCTTGTTATTTCTGAAATTATTCCCGAACTTAAATATTTTTACATAAATGAAATCACCTGGTTCAAAAACCAGTGTGTAAAATCTATGAGTTGCTCAACCAAAAACAAAAGCACACCATATTTTGCACACTCAGATAGACTGATTTAACTCAGGTACCTTATGTTGATCAACCTTTTTTATACCTTTAACCAAACTTAAAGGTTGTCGTACTCAAGATGGTAACCAATAGCAGCTTGATTAGAATAAAATTATATTGACTGATAATATTAGATTGAAATGTTCCAATTTGCAGGGAGGGCGAGCCAAGGCGGATGAGCTGTTCTTGTTCAGTGAGATGCTGCATGCTTTCAGATAAAGCAGAGTAAGAAAAGGATTTAACACTTGAGCTTTTGTGATTGACATTTTCTGTGTGGTTGGCTAGTCATGCTGATTTAAAAGCCCTCATTATGGGTCGCATTTGTAAAGGACCGCAGGCCACCAGACAGCATGCCTCCAGGTCTCCCACACATTAGCCCCCACCTCTAACAGCCACACTTCTTACTTACCCCCGTGACCTGGCTCTTACTCAGTTTTCTATCACTCTAGAATACATTGATCTGCTAGATATCGATCTCCTAAATGTATTCCCTTTGGACTCTCTTTCCCCTTTAGATATCTTTGTCTGAATTTCTCCCAAACTTATTCATTGCATAATTTTTTATCTTAATCGCCTCGTTGACAGTAACCTCAAAGTTGTCCCTACACTCAAAGCTCCAAGGAAATGACCACATTAAGCTGAATATTTATGCTTCATAAGTCAGGTGAATATGCTTTTGTATGATTACTTTTGTATCCATCCAAGCCTTCAGGTGATGACTCCCCGAATTGGCAGCCCACCAAGCTGTTGGTTTTGCTGGTCAGAAAAATGGTTTGTCCCCATGGAGCGCTGGGATCCTCAGTAGCATACATTTCCTGGTCCTGGTGCACTCGGGCTCACATCTACTCAGCATCAAAGTCTGACAACAGGAGGGATATCTTTTATTCAGTCCACGATTCTTTAACACTTCCAACAAACTCAACTAGAGGGAAAATTTTAAGAAAATAATTTTTGACCTCTCATTCTGCCTATTTTTTCAGTCTTTGGTGCTGCATATCTACCCACATTCTGAGACACAATTGGTCCCTGCCTGTGGCTACACCTCTGGGCTCAAGCCGCTGGAAGCCTTTAGGTCATGCAGAATAAAACTGAAGATCTTGGTTGGTGTAAGAACAGCTTGTGTTGTCCTTCTGATCTATTTATTACTGGTTTTTAGTTTTGGCTTGTGGGTCCTTTATTTATCTGTTTGTAATTTTCTTTTGTCATATTAGTTTTTGGACTCCTCCTCCCACTGTATAAAAGCAGGGCTGTTAGGTTAATTAGTGACTTTAAAATTCTAAGACAGAGTGCTTTTTCAGAGAGAAATGTAAGTAATTACTTTGGTAAAATTCAGCTAAAACATGCATCATCTCTGTAAAAACTGCACATCTTCCTCCCTCTTTTTAACATTTTTTTCCTGCTATTTTCTTACACTTTTGGACCAGATGCAACATGAAATGTGATTCAAGAGAAGAACTGAAACATTGTAATAAGAAAATAGAAGAAAAATGAATAATGAAGGGAGCAGAACTGTGAGAAGCACACAAGTTAATGGAATGCAATCATTATTTTGCCAATTTTTTCAAACAGATATCTTCAAAGATCAAAGCTAGATCAAAAAGAATACATACATGACTTGAAATTATGTATTAGCAAGCTGTGGTCTCCTCTTGGCACAAAGTTGTTTACTTCCTAAATTCATGAATCAGCTTTCCAGTTGTTGACCCAGATAGCACCAAACCCTTAAGGCAGAAAGGTAGAGAGCACTGATGACCACTGTGCTTTTCAAAATCTCAGTGAGGGTTTTTTTATATTTTATTTTATGAACCGGCAAAGAGAAGAAGACTGCAGCATAATTTATTGTAAATAGTGTAGTTCAGAATTATTCAGACAATATTTATTTCTAGTTTTCAAATTCAATAAATTAACATTTTATTCGTGACAAGCTGCACTTAAGAGACTAATTTGCCAAGGTTTAAACATGCTTTTAGAATATTTGTGAATTCAAAGAGCTAAATTCTCTCATTTGTAAAATTGTGGTCTCTTCTCATCAGGTCCAAGATTTTATTGAGTTTGTTTGTTAGGATGAGAACTTTATCAAATTTTATGCCTGATACCGTCCAGTTTGTCAGATCGGATGCAAATTTTGAGCTGTAGGAGAATCCAAAAGTCTAAGATCTTTGGTTTCTCCTACAGCTTTTTTCTTACAGAGGCTTTAAATTAGGACCGATATTGATTAAGCCCAGAAATATGCGGCTGTACTTTTTGGTTTTCTGTTGATTTTAAAAGTGAACTTTTGACCCACCTTCACCTCGAATGCAAAGAGTATTTTCTTTTTGAGGAACACATTCCTCTCTAAACCAAGCTCTTTCTCTCTTTGAGATAGAAACACAGTCAAATCTTGCATTTGATAGTATATAGTGTTTTGCTCCGGCCAACTGCATCAGTGTTTAAGCTGGTTTGGAATTTTGAAAGTAATTCTGAAAGAAGCTTGTCTATCAAAACAATTTATCACATACAATCACAAATGTAATTATCAATGTATAGCTGGACTCATTGTTTAATTTACAGCTGAATGCTGTCCCCAGCAAAAGTAAACAATGTGATCGTTTTAACTTTCATTCTCGTTCCTCCTCTCCTTTCTCTTATCTACTTTAATAATTCAGCTCCCCGAAGGACTTACTGACATTACATTATGACTTTATTCCTTACGTGTAGTCAATCCACCAGTAATTAATTTATCATAGTCCACTAAATTCCTACAGCAGTGTTGAGAGTTGCAATGAAGTGAGCTGAGGTTGAGGCCTAATGCTTTTCTCTTCCACATTACATTTACAGGGGATGGATGCTGAGTGACAACTGGTACGCACTCACAGACCAACACCGCCTGCAGAGACAAGGACTTTAAGGTGATGAAGATTGGAGCAACTGCTGCAAAACATTAGAGAATTTTGCTGCTGATTGTAAAGCTTCCAAATCACATCTTCTGAGACATCTGCGGATGTTCACTTGTCGACTGCAACAACTGCGGGGTATCAACAGTCATTCAAGATTAATGTTACAATCCATTATTTAGGCAGCTGATGTGAAAATTCAAAACTCTCCAGTGGTGACCTTATTCTCACATCTGCTGCTGTGCTCTGTCACTGCTGCCCCCCGTGGCGAGTAGAAAATAAGATGAACCACCAATCCAGACAGGACACGCATGAGGAGACACGGCTGAAACGCGGTGAATGTTAGACTATCTCACTATCATTTCACATGAGACAGAATTCTGTCTTGTATACTTTCCTGCATTCAATCGCACAGGCATACAGAGACAGAAGGATGGGCGGGGTGTGGGAGTGTAGGGACAATCAGGAGACAACAGCTGAGAAGCAGTCATGGTCTATTTTTGTTTCGTCCTCATTCAAGCCTCAGAGAAGGAGGAGCAATCAGGATGGGGTGTCTAAGAATGTGAGATAAAACAAAAGGCAGGGCTGCCTCTTTTTTGCTTCCCTATCCCACTTCAGCCTCAAAATTTTGTATGACAACAGCAACACTGATCATCAAAAACTGTTCATTTAAAAGGTGCCAGTAGATGTTTGATTAGGGAAAAATGGAACAAATCTCAGCCATTTTAACTATTTCCAAGTGGCAATTACTTTCTTGCACAGTTGACAATAACTGTTTGGAATAAAGAGATTGAATTTAGACATTGTTAAAAGGAAATGCATACTTTATTACATGCCAATCAAAGTCTCCCATTGAAAATGTAAGAACAATTATTTAAGTCGTTTTATTCTCTGAGTTACATGGCTCATACAGTATTCAAGAACTTATCCAACTGAAGATTTAGTGATAAAGAGAAGGAAGAAAGAAAGAAACACCAGATTTTGAGAGTGATTATAATGGTCCACAGCTCAGAAAAAGTCCTGTTCCCCTGGCCCACATGCAAATCTGCAGCAGCCTGAGGCAGCTACTTCTAACCCCTGGGTTTCCGCCCCCCTTTGGATAGACCCTTCAGCCCGAGCGTCACTTCAGTCCAGTCCCCCTTTCTAAACTCAAACACACACTCACTGTCCCGCGCACAAAACCCACACACGTACACAAACACTTTTACATAGCGCCAGGCGCTTTTGCAAATATAGTCCGCCTGCCGCTTCGAGGCGTCTTTCCGGCTCCAGTGACGCACAGTGATCACTTGGATTTTACCACCAGAGAATCATTCTAAGTTTTGTTCTTCTGCAAAAGTTTGACTTTTTTCGGTTTTCCTTGTGCACCTTAGTTACACGGTGCCGAGTAAATGAATGAGCTCGTTGCAGATCAGATTCCCGAATGGCTGGATTAAAAACTCTATCTGTGGGCAAAATGAATTTTCCTGTGAAATAACTTATGCCTCCGGACCAGCAGACGTCAAGGTATGCCCTTATCAACCAGAGCAACGCATAACGATACTTATTGATCTGTGGAGCGTCTTCCAGAGGAGCGTAACTTTGAATAAGAAGGCTGGGAAGCTTTAGCTGAAGCTCCTGACTGTGTGGTGCATTTTGCGTTTGTGTGGTAAAATGAAGATGGGCAGCAAGTTTTGAAAGGTCCAATTTAATTTCCCTCTCTCGATTTTGATAATGCTGCTTTTGACATGGAATTAATTGAATATGTGGCACTCCACTGACTTAGTGTGCGCGGGCGCGTACATGTGATTACATTAAATCGATTACAGTTCATATACAGTTTCCTGTGACTGGAAATAAAGGTGTGCTGTGTCCTTAGCTGTTGGGTGTCTTTACATTTGGAAATTAAATGTTGTGCTATTTAGGCTTTTTAGACATTGTTAGGCTTTTTAATTTTGTCTTACTATTTTTGACATGCTTTTTTGTAATTGGCAGTGGTACTTTCACAGCCTCATCCTGTAAGTGAAGATGTATCGAAGTGTGTCTGCAGCTTTGCTGCTACTCCTGACCGTCAAAATGGAAGTGTCCAGGGGTCAGTCTTGTCCAAGGAGCTGTAACTGCTACCAAGCAAACGAAGTCCACTGTACCTTCCGTTCACTCCTCACCATACCCTCCGGTCTGCCCGCACACACACGGCGCATAAACTTGGGGTATGGCGACACACTTACTTGGCACAAACATTTGCTTGATTTTGAGCAACATTTCCCAGTTTGCAATGCCGATGTTCCATTATATACAAGAACATGTGCCAGAACTGTTGAATTACTGGTCTGTTAATGTTGTTTTTGTGCATCTGCAGGTTCAACAGCATCAGCGGGCTGCATAATAGCTCTCTGGTTGGGTTAAAGAGGGTAGAACTCCTGATGCTCCACAGCAATGACCTCCATCACCTTCCAGACTTAGTGTTCAGAGACATGAAGTCACTGCAGGTAACCAGAAGGGAGAATATTTGACAGCTTGCACCAACCTCTGGTCCTCCACATTGTGGAAATCGAATCTGACTGAGGAAACGGTGTTGGAATAACTGGAGGGTCATATACATGAACAATGAACAGGACAGACAACATTTTGTTGTCAATAAATCAATCAGACTATATTTGAAAAGCATTTTTATTATAGAATGGATGTCGCACAAAGCGCTTCTAAGAAAGCCAGTGATTATTACAACTGAAAATAGAAGTTCATATATATCAATGTCCAAACCATAGAGGATAAAAAGTATTGTGCTTTCACAATAACCTAACCTAAAAAAGCTGAGCAGAGAAAATGCTGTCATATCTGTTTTTTATGTAATACCACTGATTTGCATGAGAAAAGAGTAGAGCCTGATAAATGCATAGAGAAAATCCCAAAAGTCTTAAAGCATGCTTTTGTATTGTGATAAAAAATGAATGCAGATAAAATTAAATAAAAAGATGCACCATTTAGTGTGATGGTCAAATAAAAGGACAACCTGGCAAATAAGTTATTTCAATAAAGGAGAAAAATACCATAAATGTATGTTTTAAATACATCTAAACTCCTGACAGTTAGATGTTATTTGATAGGTCAACCCGACTCCTGCACGCTATAGCAACCTCTACTAAAATTGTAAAACTGTCCCTTATGTGCACATGAAAGCAGAAATAATCCAGTATTCCCTCACATATTTAACCCCTAAACCTTTGGCAGAGGCAAGTTTTTCCTGGGACAGAGATGTAAAAAATCTTCATAAAATCTACTTTGATTCCACTCCAGTCTCAGTCAGAGATGATCATGATATGGCTATTTGGAATATTTTGTTTCAGAAGGCTAAGTTCCAAAATATTCCACATTTTCAGAACTTGTAGTTCACAACCCAAACTGCTCTCTGCCAGTGACAGATGATAATATTTAAACTGCTTGTCAGAAGAGATTTAAATGATAAGCATGATTATTGAAAGAATTGTTCAAATATACAGCACTTATCACAAAGCTATTACAGTCAAAACGACTCTATCATTGTCAGCACATTTTCTCATTTCTACGCAACTGATGGATGCATATTTATTTGTGTAATTATAGCTCTCACTGCTTCATATTAGGAAACATGGTAAATTTGTTAGCTGTAACCACAGGGCAAAATAAAAAGTCCAAGAGGAAATTATATCCATCAACAAGTTATTTTGCCTTCATCTCTTGACATTTGCTGATGTACCGGCCACTGTGTGATAATGGGATCCATATTTATATGTGGTAGCATCTTCATAAGGTAAAGTGGAGAGCAGCTGGAACTCAACCTGCTAAGTCACTTCAACAAAGGACAAGTTTATCATAAACCGTACAGAAAGATAATCATAGTCAAGAAAACAAAAATATTTTCTGTGTTATTCATGCATGCACCGGATAGCAATAAACTACTTCCAGTCGTCCATTGGGGTTAGTGGGCTGAATCTCATACTTGAATGTTTTTTTAATTTCCCTTTCTTTGACAAATTCATAGAGCTTTTGTTATATGCTAATGGTTCTTTAAATTTTATATGTGAAATTGTTAGCTGTAGAGATGTTTCGTCATATTTAAAGAAGCCAAATGGTACATTAATTTATTTCTGAATAAAACGTTTTCATTCATATTCCAGCTTCCAGTTTGTAAGCATGTGGTCTCCAGTGTTAGACTTGTAGTCCCATAGTAAACTTCTTCAGTTTTGATGTCTGTTAATCAAATTCTTTATTACCTCTGCTCACTTAATTTCTTTGATCCCAACAGATACTGAAGCTGAGTTATAACAAGCTGAGAGAGATCTCCTCCTCGCTGACCTTTTCTGGCCTGACTTCACTGCTACGCCTGTACTTAGATCACAACTTCCTCCAGCACATCCATCCCCGGGCTCTGCTTCAGCTGCCCAGCCTCAGGCTGCTTCGTCTGCAGGGGAACAGGCTGCATCAGTTGCACCCTCATGCCCTGTGTACGCTGTCCCTCCTGAATACATATTATTTTTCTACACTGAGGTGAGCAAAGTCAACTAAAGCACATAACTGATCAAATAGCTTTGTTTGGGTTGTGAGAGGTTTGACCACAACAAAAAAAAAAAAGTATTTGAAATCTCTCATCAGGAAAACTCGAAAAGATTTGATATGCAGCTTTTGGATGTATGTTGTCAAAATCAGCACAAGTAAAGGCAAAAAGTTGCAAATTGATTACTTGTAGTAGTTACCAATAAGACCATAAAGACAATGAGGGGCACTGTAAACTTTAGATATACAAAATGTGTCGATATTGTCTCTCCTTTTCCTCATGTAGACATTTGGACCTTTCAAACAACAGTCTTCCTACTCTGCCTAAAGAAAGTGTAACAACAGCACCTCTGCTGGAGACTCTTCTACTGCAGGCTAATCCCTGGAGCTGTGACTGCAGGATGAACTGGCTTCTCAGTTGGAGTGTGGCTCACCCAGGTGAAAGTCCATTCTAAAAAACAATTTATTTTAAACTGCTGCAAGTTTGCCAGGTATTTCTGTCTTAGAGCTTGTCTTGATTGGCTGATTGTAGAGACTGAAATGACATAGATAGGAAGATTAGTTTAAAAGGAACATAATAACTAAGCTAATACCGTTGAAAAATCCATTGAGATGTTCAGATAAGGGTAATTCAAAGTTTTGATCCGTCTAGATTTGTTATCCTGATACCTTCCCCTCTGCACCTTTGTCACTCATTGTTCTTTGTTCTGCACCATTGTCTTATCTTTTCCCCATCTGTCTTGTGGCTATTATTGAGATGTGAAAGAAAGCTCAGCCATGAAATGTGTCTCATTGATATGCCAGGCTTAACCTGCCATGACTAATCCATGATGACAGCATTGATGTGTGACAGCTGATATATAGGCTAATGATTGTGGCATGATAATGAATTGATACATTTTCTGATGTATGAATGGATTAAATAACCATATCTAATTAGGAAGAGACATAAAGGGTGATGAATACTTCAAATGAGCTCGTATGACTAATAAATGACTTTGAAATGCACAAATATGTGTATATGGGTAAAACACACACACATTTTTGTAGAGCTACTATTTCATGTTGGAGGACCTTATTATGACATGAAGCCATTCACATTTTCCATTTCTTCATTTAGGGTTGATGAAATGCCCCAGTGGTCCCCAGTGTCCAATCTGTATCTCACCCACTTCACTTCAAGGCCAGGGTTTGCTTGACCAGACATCACTATTGTGCACCTCACCCATCATCCACTCTTCAGGAAAAGAGACCTCTTTAGAGACTGACCACAGTGAAATCCGATCAAGTGCAACTTTCAGAGAGCCGTTGGGCAGTGTCTCTCTGGCCCTATCAGACCATCTAGGAAACAGTGTTGATCTAAGTTGTAACATCACTCACTCTACTGACTCCCAGCATATTGTTCCTCCGCCAGATCTCTCTTTGACTTCTTCATCTCCTCTACCCCTTGCCATGTCACTGTCCTTAGAGTGCCCTATGGAGGGAAAGAGCTATGAGGAACTCTGGAGGATTCTTGCTTACTACAGTGAGACTGCAGCTCACCTTGAGAGAGAGATCATGCTTAGCAAAACCCCAGCATTGGCCTACCGCTATCGGCAGGCAGCAGAGACAGATGGATATTATCACACTGGAGTCAGAGCATCTGTTAAGGCCAGACCGCAATGGTTACTACAACCCGCAATTAGCATTCAGCTAAACAGAGCACAGTCTACTAGACATAAAGTTCAGCTCATGTACTCAACAAGAGTTTCTGCTCATCCTGACTCTACTTCTCATCTTACTTCTTCTGCTTCTCACCCATGGGTGCTGATATCAGCTAATCATACTACTACAGCACTGGCAGTAGTGGCAGGCAGTAAAGTAACACTTTCATGTCTTCTTCTCAGTTCTGGTAACCCCAAAATACGCTGGATTCTCCCAGATGGATCCAATCTCACATCCCCTTCCAGTAGTTCAGATGGAAGGCTCCAGGCATCAGCCACAGGTCTACTTATTCAAAAAGTACAACTCTCGGATGCTGGAATTTACTACTGCGTTGCTTGGGCTGGGAGAGATACAGATGTTCTCCCCCTACGATTGGCAGTCCAGGAGTCTTCCGTTCCACATTTGGGGGAGATAGTTGCATCTTCTGTCTCTGGAGAAGTTGGGGAAGCTGTATGCTTGCCCTGCAGGGCATATGGTTCACCAGAACCTAATATCAGTTGGATTTTGCCTGATGGAAATTTAGTACGGTGGGGGTTCACTGTATCAGACGGAGTCAGAATGCAGAAAAATGGCAGTCTTTCAATTCCTAATCCATCTCCAAGAGATGGTGGTTATTATCGCTGTATTGCAATTAACCATTACGGGAGTTATTCCATGTCCATGCAGCTGAATTTAAATTCACAGCATTTTCCACCACTCAAGACTTCATTTCCCAAAGGACCACAGTCAGCTGCTGGTAGGTCAACAAAGATAAGAGCCCCTTTATTCCGTCAAGTAGACGAAGGGTCAGGGGATGAAGAGGAACAAGAACAGAAAACTCCTGTAGACAACAGAAGATACACGATATCTCCAAGACCTCATCCAAATAGGAGGTATCCAACTGGAAAACTACAAAGACGGGGCCGTTTGAGAGAAGGCCCCTTGAGGAGGGGTGGAGGGCCTTTTTCGTCCACTGACCAACCAAGAAATCGCTTTCAGATCAGACACAGAATTAAGACAAACAAACACAGGATAGACCCTCAAAAATGGGCTGACCTTTTAGCTAAGATTCGTCAAAAGACTGCAAACTCTAGTAACAGTCAACTTACAACAGTAAACCCCATAGCTGAAGAAGTTCAAGGAGGCAAAGATGAAGACATAAAAGAGCAGAAGGAAAATTTTGATAACAACACAGTTGGAGCTCAAGATGGAGAAGAGGAAACAGAAACGGAAGGGTCGTCAGTTGATGACACTGTTCTGGTGGAACTGCCAAAGTCTGTTTCACCTGCTTATGCAGGTACCCAAAAGAAAATAGATGAAGGTGCAGAAAGTGTCACAGAAAGGTCAATCAACAAGGAAATAGAAACAAACAATGAGCCAGAGGCACGCATACAGACCAGTAAAACAGATCCAGAAATAGGGCCTACAGAAAAGTCAGTGACACACAAAAAAGTAACATTTAAGACAGTACATGGAACAAATGAAATTGTCCAAGAAACAAGTGATGGGAATGAACAGGGAGCAAACCAAAATCAACCGAGAACCAGACCCCAGATTCCCAAACAGGGAGTCTTCCCAAACTTAGTTCCAAACTCTCAGCCTCAAAGCCCCTGGAACTCACGCAGGAGGATTGGACATCGTAGAAGAATCAACAGGCCCAGGACCCAGCCTGTAACCTCACCGCAGCCTCTTCCTCATCCTGTGAACCCAAAATTCCAAAGTGTTTCCCCTGACTCTACCACAGATCAAATCGGTGTGATTCTGACAGCAACACATCTGTTGACGCCAAGCGATCATCATGAAACTACTCCAAATGGTGTGACTGTGAATCTTCTGACTACCCCAGCTGATGCCCCTGCTACTTACTCATCCTTAATGACTCCCCCACCCAGCCGTACAGACACATTCACAGGCATGGTCACTCCCTTATTCAAGACGCCACCACCTGAAGAGTCCACTCTGAACATCCTGTCAACAACTACTCCTACAAATATTGTGATTTCAGAAACACGTGTGCCAGACAAGAATGTCAGGACATTAACACATGGCACACAAACTCCCACAGAAACCCAAACAGCTTTCGGCAAACATCCTGTGAGACCTCCAAGCAAGCATGGAGAGGAGATAGAGAGGAATGTCTGGGTTGAGTCCCCCTTTTCAACTTCTCACTCTGTCATTGTTTCCTCAGTCCCCAGCGCATCCTCAGCTACCACCACCACAACAAAAATAATAACATCCCCTCCTGCTGCTCTCAAGAGAGATGGTTATGCCGAGAGCATTGAAAGTACATCTACCTTTACGACCACCGAGGAGACGCGTACAGCTACAACAGCTACGGAAATAAGTCCCACCATGGGTACTTCAACAACCATTTTAAATCCAACTTCCAGAACCACCAGTCATTCTCCAACTAGTCCCACCTCTACTACAACTACAACAACTACTACCTCTACTACCACCACAACATCTGCTTCTTCCACTTCTTCTACAGCTAGTACATCAACCACAACAGTTACCCCCACCACTTCAACTTTCAGCACCACAACTGACCCCGGTACAACAGCAAGTAGTGCTATTATTGCCATTGCTACCATCCCCATAACTAAACCCCCTCCTTTAGCTGTGCCACAAAATATTACAGATACAACTCCAACTATCACAACTCCTGCCACTACGATGGAATTTGACCTAAATTTGCCTCCAAATACTACAACAACAATAAGAACAACAACCAAATCATCATCCAAAGACAATCCAATCATTGTCCAGGTTGACCCACAACTGAAGCTTGTTTCTGGTGCTCCAAATCAGAGGCAGGTTTCAACTGACTGGAAGAATTCTGGAGCTAATTCTATTCCAGATTCACATAGCAGTAGGTCTCATCGTCCGTCTCCTTCATCCTCACTCCCTGCTGCTCCAGTGGTAAGTCCAAATTATTTAAAATGGCATATTTCTACTTTGTTCACAGGTACTCCCAACAGTGGGTCTTGAAGCAAGAACATAAATGTGGACAGGGATAAAAAGCCAAGCCATTACCACTTGTTATTTAGCTGTTATTTTAATAGCAAAATTAATGTGTTAACATTTCTTTTATTGCTGTATTGAGTTTGTTGTTACTTATCTAATTAGTTATTCTGCAGATTAAGTGCATTCTGAAGATTGAAGAAAAACAAGTGAACATTTATTTTCAAAGTGCGTACTGCCCCAGAAAATAATACATACACATGCAAACACATACTTCAAGAAAGTATGAAAGCCTTTGGGGCAGAGGCTTAGCTGAAAGTGCACAATGGTTTGGAAACAGTCTGATCTGTATCCACATGACCTGCTATTAAAAATGGGGGGATGTTTATGATAATCCTCCAGTTTCATGGGTTTTCCAAAGCTATGTCAGAGATCGAATGTAGAGATGAAAAACATATGCTTGATAATGAACAACATTTTGCATTTTGAGAGCCTAATCCCAAAAGACAAAAGTCTAAATCATTTGTTCATTAATGTCCAGAGATTTGCTGGCAAGCCTCTTCAGAGCAAACCTCTGGGCCCATCACAAGGGAGGCATTTATTTCTGGGTTGAATTTGGAATTGTTTTGCATTTATGTGAAAAGACTGAGCAGTAAAAAAACAAACAATTGTAATTATGAATAAAAAGGCCTAACGTTTCTCATACTTCAGCATGAAAAACCTTTTGATCAATGGCCTGTATCATAGCCACAAGAGCATATCAACTGTGCTTTCGACTCTTCTGGCTCAAGACAAAAGCCTACAGGGCCCCTCAGTTCTGTAATTTTTTTCTTGGAGATCTGAAAATTACACAATCAATGACATCTTAAAAACGTATTATTCTGAAAAGCCTTTAACAGATATCTTGATTTACTCTGGTCTCTAAACCATAAATTTGTATGTAAAGAATCTGAATTTCCGATTAAGTGTTGAGGTTTTTGTGATATAGTGATTTTTGTTCTTACTGGTCTTGACCTCCTTGATGAATGTTGCTTATATTGGATGGGTGTTGAACATTTAACTTTCCTTGAACATCATCAAACAGATTATGTTTTTATTGATTATACAATAACATGATAATTTAAGTCACGCCATGTTGAACTATACTAATCACCATTGCAGGTCGAGCAAGATTGGTGAAGATCTGGTGGTGCCTTTCATATCAAGTTTACTTTGTTTCAAAGAGTTGTTAACTCTGCCTTTCATTGCTTCATCTGCCAAATTTGATCCTCTCAACATCTTTTGCTTAGGCTCCAGTTTTGAGATCTAAGCCAAGGATTGCAGACCCACACATCAGGACAGTGTCATTCCCTGCACAGAGTACTGCCAGGCTAGCCTGTGAAGCTCAAGGAGACCCAAAACCCTTCATCACATGGACTAAAGTTGCTACAGGTAAACACCCTGCAGGTGTCATTAAATTAAGCTAAAATAAAAAATAAACCTGAGATGTTATACTGATTTATTAAACAAAAGAAATAAATATTGACTGGATCTGAGCTGTCTCACTATTACTTAATGTTACTATTAGAAAGTTATTGTAAATAGAGTCTAATCTAATATTATTTTTTGTCCGGGCCAGACCTTCATTTTGATTTTTTCAGAAAAAACGGTTTATTAATTATGACTCCTATTAACTACCGTATACACATACGTGCCATTTGTGCTATACTTTTAAAAAGGTTTTGGCTCTCTCTTTCCATTCAAGTCAGCTATTCTGAAAGAGTTACATTTCTGTTATATTATGTTCTATAACACTTTTAATATGATCCCATTTTACTGAAAAAAATTAACACCCAGAATTACACTCTGGCATGCTCATAATAGGCTTTTCTGTAACTTTCCGCGTGGGAGAGACTTTAGAAGCAAGTAATGGAACATTTTGTGAACTGCTCACTGACTTCACTCCACACTGTGCCATTCAGTGCACCCCCGCTCCTCCTTTTCTCTTTGTCTGAAACCCACTCTGTATTATTCTTTCCAAATTTGTCTCTGTTTTCTCGCTCTGCCATCTCATCACTGTTCTCTTTTGGTCTGTCTATCCTACGACTTTGCTCCTGCATTTCTATCAGGAGCGGTGATGTCAATCCACTCCAGGGCTGAGCGTTTTGTAGTCTTGCCAAACGGCACCCTTGTTATTCAGAATGTTCAGCTGCAGGATCGGGGCACCTACATCTGCAGTGCAGACAGCTTCCTGGGGCGTGACAGGTGGGAATACTGACTTTAGACATGCATATCAATGCACTACTAAGTATTTCATTATGCTACAATTCTACAGTATTTGCAGTTTTAATCACATAGCCCTGCAGGAACTCAGTTGCACTGTAATTATTGATTATTCATCTGTACCTGTTGTAGCTACTTGTGCTTGCAAACACAATCACAAACCTGTGTGTGCTTTGAAAGAAATTGTGTCAAATAAAGCCTGACATACACTTTTCTTATTTGAAACTTTCCTAAATGTATTGCATGACTTATTTTGGTTTGCATTTTTGGTCTGATGAAGCTCTGCTTCTTCTTCACAGGTTACTAACTACCCTGGAAGTTTGGACCCGCCCTCCTCGTATGCAGCTGGCGAGTTACAGAGAAATTACCATTCATCAGGGTGGACAAGTTCGCTTGGAGTGTCAAGCAGATGGTGTTCCCACCCCTCTGCTCTCTTGGGTTCTGCCTGATCGTTCAACCTTAACCTCTACGGGAACATCCTCCAGTCGAATGAGCGTGGACATAAACGGAACCCTTCATATCTCAGTGACTTTACCTAGTGACAGAGGAGTCTATCGCTGTGTGGCTTCAAACTCAGCTGGTGCAGCCAGCGCCTCTGTGCGCGTTCACGTGTCTTCGTTACCCCCGGTGATACAGCAACCCAGAGAGGAACACCTACTCTTTACTTCAGGGTGGCCCGTTTATGCTCACTGCTCTGCCCGTGGTGCCCCACCTCCAACTCTGCGTTGGCGAATCCCAGATGGAACCCTCATTCGTCCATCTCAGTTTCTCCATGGCAATGTTTTTGTCTTGCCTAATGGGACGCTGCATATTCGCAGCGCAGGGCCAAATGATTCTGGGAACTATGAGTGCACAGCTATCAATGCGGTAGGGTCTGATGTAAGAACGGTGAGGGTAAAAGTTGAAGGGGGGGCAGAGATTGAACAGAGACAGGGAAGAGAAAGGAGTCAAGGGACAAAACAGGTCTTTCCGGACAAACCCTCTCCCTCATTGTTGAATAAAGACAGAACATCAATCATTCCTAGCCAGTCCTCAGATCCATTCAGCTTCACTAAGCCCTCCCCTCTTTATCCTTCTGATAGATACAAAAATTTACTGCTCAACCCAAGCCCTTCTAATTCCCCCTCTAACTTATTGCCCAAAATCAATAAAACAGTCACTGCCTCACCCACACACTTAACCAACATCAAAAAGACAAATCCCCTCTCTCTTTCATCCCCCTCCCCTATACCAGAAAAGAACACCAGAGTCTCACAGAGCATAAACAACACAAAAGTTAGTTCTTCTCTCCCTGCTGACAGAAAAGCATTCACTGCTTTGGAAACCCTGCCAATCGCCCCTTTCACAAAAGCTCATATTGTCTTTACATCACCTTCTACTTCTACTGTCCAATCTGGGGGAATTTTGCAGCTTCACTGCACTGTAACTGGCAACCCCGTTCCTTCTATTATGTGGAGAACCCCCAGCAGGAAGCTGGTGGACATACACTACAGGTACAGGGGGTTGAGTGAGTGGAAGAATTTTTCTTTTTTGTAAGAATGTAATGGTGGGGGTTTTCTCATGAATGTCTAACTCAAAAATATGACATTATGATTTATGTGCATTTTTGTGTTTATTTGAAATGAAGCTTTGACCAACGGCTGAAGGTTCAGTCCAATGGCACGCTGTCAGTCCAGGCAGTAATGGAGAAGGATGCTGGAGACTACCTGTGCATTGCACGTAACAGAGTTGCTGATGATTATCGCCTTCTTCGTGTGATTGTTGCCACCAAGCCTGCCAAGATTGAGCCAAAGCAACCATTCTATCACACCGTATCATTTGGTAAACGCCTAAAGGTGAGCTGCATGAAAGCAACAAAGTAATCATTTTGCAGTAATAATGTTACTGTAATGTTAATGTAAGTTTGGTAATGAAGTACAAACCTTGATTTTTGCTGGCCTTTTAGCTCAGGATGTGATACATTTTTGTGTGCCATCTCAAGCCCTTTTTCATTAGTTTTACATGCAGTTAAAATCATTATTGGCACTACTGTTGCGTTTTTTTTAAGGAAAACTGCATGAATTAGTCTAATTTTATAACAACAACAATGATAATAAATATATACTTGACAACTCATTTAATGAGGTAATCAATGAAATACTAAACATCTGACAGGGATACACCTTCTAATATAGAGTTATATAGTAATTTTACGGGGGGTGGGTCCCACATTTATTTATTTTATAAGATTTTGTTGACTCTAGTGGCCTTTAATGACAGTAGCTTGGCAGGAAAGGGGGCAGAGATAGAGAGGGGGAGACCTGCGGGAAAGGGCCGTGGGCCGGACTCAAACCCGGGCCGCCCGCTTATGAGGAGGTCCTCACACATGGTCCGCCCGCTGTAACTATTAGGCTACGCTGCAGCCCAAAGGCGGGTCCCACATTTTAACAATAACTGGGATGCATCAAAGTTTGAGTTTCACAATACTTGTTTATTAAAGTGTACATGGCAATGATCATCTCAGTTAAAGAAGCCAATACGTTTGAAATCCAGAGTAAAACTGATTGTGGACCATTTGGGGAAATTGGGAAAATACAGCAAGACAGACAACCCTAAAATACTAGTTGTTCAGACAAAAACTAATGGAAGACAAGTAGAGTTAATGACATGAAAGTGACAAAGTACAGCCCTAAAACCAACAGAAATGTTGTGGAGACAGTTAATGTAAGGAAGCCAGTCAGCTGTTGTTAAAGCATTAATATAATTATTTTGATTATTTTCATTTATGAAAAATATGCTCAGGTAAAATGTTTTTGTCTTGTCTGTATAATTGAGAACAAGCATATTCTTTTAGTTCTGGGGTGAAAATTGTTTTGTCATTGGTTATGTTTGTTTCAATGTAGCTATATATGACTTCATATATTTATACAATATAACTTTATATATAACTCTTTGTAACTTGTAACTTCTTAATGTTTCTGAATTCTGTTTCTTGAAGAAATGTATTATGATGAAAGCAAATACCTCATGTAAAAAAGACTAGACGGATTTAAGAAATCGTGCCAAGTCAGGCAGAAGGTATTTTGTATTCAAAGAAATTAAATTTGGACAGGCCATACAACAGGCTGTTATATTTGGTCAGCAGTAGCCCACTGGAAGAAGTAATGAACACATAAATATTTAAAGGCTCAATGAATAAGAATGTGATGAAAGCAAATTGAAAGAAATATGATCCAGTATTATCGTGGGAAATTGTTGTCCTTCATTAAGTATTTATTAGCTATCAATGGCTTATTCTAAATGGCTCTAAATTGTTAGCTGTGTACAAGTAGATGTGTTTTGTACCATGAATTTAACTTTTTCCAAGGGCATTGAAAAAGCCCCTTGAAAAATACAGTATCACCTACTAAAAAGATATGTGTTTAATTCTATAGAAGAAATTAAAAACAACATTGAATGCATCAATGAAACATGGATCTACTGCAGGTCGATTGTCAAGCAACTGGACTACCTGATCCAGCTGTCCACTGGAGCCTACCAGATGGAACCAGAGTGAGAAGTGTGATGGGCCGAGGAGCTCGATCACGATTAACTGTGTTTGACAACGGGACATTACTGGTTCCAGCAGTGGGTGTGGAAGATGAAGGGGTGTATACCTGCTATGCTGAAAATCAAGGCGGTCAAGATGTTATGAAGGTGAGAAAAATTATTCCTGGACAAAACTCCTATTCATCAGCATTTAAATCAATGATTTATATAAACATTCTTTGATGTTTTTGTTACCATTAGCATAATTTTTCAATGTTTTAAGGTCAAAGTGAACGTTGTGATGACGGCTCCACCAACATTCACTGATGACAGAAGTCACCGTGTCATCAGAGTACATCAGGGAACAACAGCTGCAATTCCCTGCCAAGCAGTTGGAGATCCCGCCCCAACAGTGACCTGGTTTTCCCCAGCACACCGAGTCATCCCTAAGAGTTTGGGATCTGGTTATTATTCGGAACGGGTTGTGGTGGTTTCAGGTGGAACCCTGGAGGTACGCTCAGCCCAAAAGATTGATACGGGAAACTATACATGCAGAGCAAGCAACTCAGCTGGGGAAAGGAGCATGGTGGTGAGGCTGGAGGTACATGCATCTGGCCCAGCGGAAGAACGAATTTCGAGAATTAACAATGAGCGTGGTGGCAGTAGATTTGGAGACCATAGCACAGGGATTTTCAGGTATGGAGGTACCAGTGGAATCATTAGCAAACCTGGCGTCAATAACCAAAGCAGTAATGTTTATACTGAAAACAGCCGCAGTAAAAACAAAGTACCTAACACTGGGATTAACCAGGCGATAAATGGCTTTAATCCTGCTTTAAGAAATGATGGTCGAGATATATTTAAAAGACCTATGATTGGAATTACAGCACGGCCAGATAACTCAGGAGCCGCTGTTGGCCTGAGTGGGGTTCAGAGTGTAGTAATTAAAGCAGATAATTTTGTAAATCATAGAAATGGGCCCGGCATTATTAAAAATGGTAACAATCAAAGCTCAGAAAGAAGAGATAGTGGTGAAAGGAATTCAGGGACTAATGACAATGAAGTCATCGCGGGAAGGACTAGTATCGATGCAAGGACTGGCGGAAATAACATCAGTTTAAGTGATAATTCAAGAATTGCTGGAAGCTCTGGGAGCAAGTTGTCAGATAACAGAGCAGATTCGAGCACTCCCAGGGGAAATGGTTTTAGTAGGGATAGTAATTTAGGAGTTCCCAGTGACAGCAGAAGAAAGAGTGGTGGTTTAAGTGGTATAGCTAACACAGCTGTGGGTGTGGTGACAACAGTGAAGCGGCGAGCAGTTAAAGGCCAGACTGTTCTTTTGCCCTGCCCGTCCCAAGGTATCCCCCCACCTCGTCTGGCTTGGCTTCTTCCTGGAAATGGTATGCTGCCAGCTCCTTATTATGGCAGCCGACTCACTGTGCACCGAAACGGCTCATTGGAGCTGCGGGGCCTGCGGACAAGTGATAGTGGGACTTTGGTTTGTGTTGTCAGAAGTGAAAGAGGCGAGACATTAATTCGAATGGAACTGGAGGTCTTGGATCAACAGGAGTCCAGAGCTCTCCCAAAGGGACCAGCTGAAGAAACACCTCATGCAGGACATGCAGCAAATCCAGGTCAATCCTTAAATCCAGGGCGTGTGTCATCTGTGCTGCATCTGCAAAGGGGCCTGACTTTGTCTGTAACGCCTCGCCCAGCGAACTCTCCACCCTCCCCTGGCCCAGTCTCTCAGGCCACAGTGAATACCAGAACAGCCCCTCTGGTGACTACTATTAATGGAGAAACCCTCCGCCTGCCTTGCCCTTCTCAGACCCAGGGATTTGTCTCTTGGACTCTACCTAGTGGCAAGGTGCTGTCCAAAGGGGAGAGTGCTGACTCAGGCCGCTATGTAGTACATCAAGATGGAACCCTCATAGTAGAAAAGGCCTCTGTGTTTGACCGAGGGACCTACACCTGCAGATCTTTGGGTCCAGACTCATCCTATGTTTCGGTCATCACAGTCCCTGTCATTATCATTGCTTACCCTCCACGCATCACAACAGGGCCCACTCCTGTGACCTACACCCACAGTGGCGTCGCTGTGGAGTTGCCTTGTCTGACCATTGCTACACCCCGTGCAACAGTAACCTGGGAAACACCAGACCTGATGCATTTGAGGGTAACAGGACAGCCTCGACTTTATGGCAATCGGTATTTAAGTGCCCAGGGTTCCTTGGTGATCCAGAGCCCCACACACAGGGATACAGGATTTTACAGATGCACTGCCAAAAATGTAATTGGAGTGGACATCAAGGCAACCTACCTGCATGTAATGTAAAAGGACAAAGCAACAACAACATACACTAAGCCACACATTCATTTAACAGAGACACAGAGCCCACCAGTCTTTAATTCTGTTGAATGACCTCTTCCTTTGTTAAGCCTATGTTCCTCATGCCCAAAGGAACTGCAAAGCTCTGCGCTTGAGATACTGCTGAATCTCATAGAGGACATTATTTTTTTGTATCTTTGATGTATAATACTGTTGTCAATACTGTATATTTTATAGTAGATGTTGAGAATTTCCTAGCTGCCTTGGGAAATTTATCCACATAAAAAAGTGTCTGGTGTTTTTGTGATGCAGATACCTTCAGACTTGTGTGCCTTACTGTCTGCCTCATTGGTAAAAAAAATCCACTTTGATTGAGTCCCTTCATGATTGCACAAACACCAACCCGCCCAAATTTTCCAAATCATTATTTCTGAGGAACTTTTGCAGTTTCTTTCGGTCCTTTTCAAGCTAAAAAAACTTTGCATCCCAAACCCTCTGTGAAATATTCCAAACTGGGCCATCAGACCAAACTAATTAAACCAAAAATATGACATCTGTCTGGGAATTCCGTCAGTGAAGCTTTATAAGTTGTAACTCTCATGTGAAGAACTTAATATTTTTTTTCTTACATAGCTTTAGACCCAGGAGTTGCTATAGTCAATATTACAAAATGTAAAGAAAAATTATCTGAACTGATATCGATTACTTTACCAGACATTTGTGAAAGAAATTGTGTAATGGTGTGTATTAAGGAGTCACTGAATAATAACGCAAAAAGGCTGTTCTTCTTTAACATCTTTCTTTGGTCATATGTATTAGTCTGATGGCAAATCATGTAATTGAGGTAATATTCAATGTTTCTAAATATCGGAGGCTGTCGTCCTGGATTTCAGATACCAACTTTACAGACACGTTACTACTGCATTTTGATTTGCTTTCTACATGCTATTATTGATCTGAATTTTTCCAGTGCGGACGTAGCTTTGTAATTCTAACTTGCAGCCTCTTTTGCAACATGCTTCTCATGGCACATTTAACCCCTTTCGGACAAGATGATGAGGGACTTTGTTTTGAATAAATACTAAGACATCTTTTGGACTTGGGGCAGTTTTACTTCTCTTTTTTCTTACTGCATCTGTGACTTTTTCTCAGATTCTCACAGCATTAATGGATTAAAGAACATATTTGACAGATGGTCACTGTAAACACAACAATAACACTAACTTTGATCATCAATCCTCCAGATTATGTTCATTTAAATTATTCTGTTAGAGTTTGTGTGTTTTAAAGCAGACCTAAGCTTGTGCACAAAGCCAGTGGTTCACATGCCTTTGATCTGCTTTTTAATATTTTCACCCTGCCCTTAAATTATTTGTGTTGTTAAGACTCAGTCATAGCACACCAGTTTTTATGCGAAAGGGATAAATTGCTAATGCTATGTACGCCTGATGTCTCAGTAGCCACTGATGAATGCCTGCTTTATTTTTAACAGATTTAATTTCATGAATAAAAATGACAGAGAACTGAATGTCTTAATCCCTGAAGTTTTACAGTTTTGACCAGAAACATGGCAAAAATGAAGTGTTTGTATGAGGGGCTGAGAAAGGAAAACACTTTGTGGGAGGGTGAGAGTGAGAAGACAAACTTTTCTCGAGTATATTATGAGAAAACAAATTTCTTATCCTCAGCTCAGCTGTCAGACCAGGAAATGGGGCCTTGACTGTAGATGATTCACATATTGACGACATACTCCTCTCTCTGGGAAATGCCATAAAACTCACAGCAGCCTTCAGAGGAGCTCCACACCACCCTGCATGATCTCATACCTGGTGTTTTCCCTGTGAGCTTAGTAAATACTATTAGTTCAAATTGATCATGACAGTCTACTGTATCTGGGAGCAGAGTGCCAGGGAGATGATCTGTATTGCTCATTAGTATGGTCAGAATTATAATATGATGGTGAAAGAGAGTGAAGGACTGCCGTGAGGGATGCCAAACAAAATACATCAGCTAAAAGCAGAGACCAATACAGTACCAACACATCATTACTGAATTGTTTGGGTTTTCTGAGCTGTGACATCGTTTACATAATCATTGTGCCAAACATTTTCATTTAGTTACAGATCGTTTGCTAAGTATATGGCAATGATATCATATGCTGAAACTTAAAAATGTAATTGATTTTGGATATCATTGCTTTGCAATACTTTTTTGTTTGTTTGTTTTACTGCAATGAATGCATTGTTTAACCCTGTTTAATCCAAGAAATGCTTGCATCTTCCAATTCAGGGTCGCAGGGCTTTTATTATTTAAATTAGATTTCTCGAATGCTCTGGTTTCCGAATCAAAGCATCCCAAGGCAATTTCAACATTGAGCTGCAACATAGTCATGTGTAACCAAGATCCATAATTATCTTTTTATTTGTGGCAAAACACACAATAATTCTAACCAAAAAGCTGACAATTTTTTATTTTCTGTAGAACTTTCAAATATTACCATGTTACTTTCTGCCATTCCCACTACTAGCCTAATTGAATCAGGGAACAGTGTGAAATGAAAAAATTCCCATGTAAATAGTCATTTCTGACTTCCTTATCCCCTATAAGGTTATATTAGGAGTAGATATTAGTCTTAGATTTATCATTTCATTAAAATGGATTATTATTATTATTATTTGTAATGCCCTTTAAATCGTAATCACTTTAAAATATGTTTTACACACTTTACTAGTTAAAAAGCATTCACAGAAGTTATGATTTAGCACTATCCAAAAACTTTCAGGCTACGATGGGCTAATCTCCTGATAAAGCTTTCTTTTTGACCCTCTGTTCCTCTGTATTTTTCCTCACCCACGTGCAATAAAATTTTGGCCAGCACTCTGACAATCAGATACAACATAAAGACTCTTGGTGCAATGCCATTCATGACGCACATGGTTTTTGATGAGGCCAAATGACTTTACTTAAAAATGCCAATCTCATTAGTCAAACTCTGTGAGAGTTTTCAATTAACTGAAATGTTGAAAAAACAAAAACAATTTCATGCACAGCAGAGCTGAATCTTGTGGATGCAAAGATGTTCAGATGCATATGAAAGGCCCTACTGATTAGAATCATTGCAAAACACCACCCAGTGATTTAAGCAGTTTGGTTGAGTTCTCAATCTGGGGAGTTGGTAAATGTATTGCAGAGAAGCAACTCCAGAAATTTGCTTTGTGATCCACTTCTAATGAGGGCTGTTGATTTTCTGTGAGAGCTTTTCCCGCTTTGAATGATCTCTTTATAATGTTGGATAATTTCCCCTCATTGCAGAACAGCACATTTATGTTTTATGATCCATTGTAGCAAATAGATGATTGCTTTTTTCCTTTTGTTTGGTACCCCTAAATTTATGAGTAGATTATAAATATAATAAACCTCTGGATTGTATTTCTTTTTTACAACAACTTCAGTCTAGAAGGACTGAACTCCTTACAAATATGTGCTAATAGCTGTGATTTAACTGACAAGTATTGTCACAAATGTCATATAGACTGTGCATCAACATTAAACAAAATACCAGGACCAGCAGTGTCAGCATTGTTAAAACTACCTGAACATTTTCCTAAATGTGATGAAGTTACCTGACTTTGTTGTTGTTCTGTTTTTAAAATCTTCAAAATATATTGCCCTGTAATAACAATCTAGCCCCCTATTAATAGCAATATCATTATACCCAGGCTCCTCTTTTCTAATGGAACATTTGAAAAGATGATCAAAGACAGGAACTGTACAGGCAACACATGCCATCAATAAAATAATGAATGAGACATTCAAGCTTACCATACCTGGTACTCAGACGACTTTTTAATGTAAAGCACACAGTGCTGCGACATCTGCTCACATTCAGCATGTTCACATCAACAGTGTCATCACAGATTAGTCATGCCAGCTAAATCTGGCAAATCAGCAAGACACATGTCATGGTCCACCCAGCTTTCATGTCTGAATCACTGTGAAAAGACAGAAAACAGTAAGTCATCTGTTTCTCTGTGCTCTCAGTTTTCATTATGTATGTGTGTTTAAATCGAAAACACACACAAAAAGAGGATGATTTCATTTTCTAAACTAAATAGTTTTCAAAAAGGATTTTCTTCCCAGGGTGGGAACTCACTTCTACTTTGTAATAAACTACACAGTTTCAGGTGGAAGATTTATGTTAATATGTACTTGTGACTGATTATCTGCAAAGACTGTAATCAGAAATGAAAGAGTTGCATTACTCAAGGTCAGCAATGTAATTTATAACATGAAGGTATTTCACCACCCACTAAGAAGCTGCGGAGACTGTTTCCTGAAAGTTTTTTGACTGAGAAACAGTATAGTTTGGAAAAATAAAAGCAATGTCATAAGAAATGTCAAAATTTAATTAGTTGTAATAGAATTCTAAGACTTCATAGGTCTGACTTGATGGTAGAACAGGTGGGAACTTTGAGCACACTGAACACACATCAGAAAGAAACACATATTCAAGAGATCACAAAGATGACTTGCCAATTGCTACTTCAACTAGTTTTCAACATGATATTAGAAAAATAATGTCCTCGCTATGCAAATTTCTCACAAGCTGTATTTTACTAATGCTTGGACCCATTCACAAGCCAAGATTGTATTAAAAAAAAAAAAAAATCCAGTTGTTTGTTCACTTAATGTGTTTTTGTTCAGACAAAATTAATTCCATGAGTCCACTGCCCAGTCCAGAAACTGAGAAAAATGTGGGGTGTGTACTTTCTCCATCCTTGACCTACTTAAAACATTTTTTCCCCTTCTAGCGTTTTTAGCAATGTATTACAAAACTTATGATTAGCAACCCGCTAGTGCCTTTATTGTTTAAAACAATAAATAAATCTGTTATCTCCAGCTGAAGAATAAGGAAGCTTATGATAGGGTCTGCAACAGCAACCCAACAAGTGGTGCTCAGCTGAACATCAGCTAACTCACAGTTTGTATGTAAACACACACGGTGAAGATCTTTAAATGTTTGAAATCATGTTTGCATGTATGGCATCTTTATCATGGACCCATGGTGGTGGGCATTTAAATGAAATAGGAAGGTATTTTATAGTAAAAGAGACGGATATATGCATCATGCCTAATGTAAGTTAACTGCCAAAAACATATAGTGTGTGTATTGAACAAAACTGCTCGGCTGGTATCATTGGGTTCAGCACATTCGAGTCAACAGTCATATGAGTTCAGCAGAGTCAATTACCTCAGCATTTTTTTTTTCTCTAGGGGAGACAAGAAGTTACAGTATCCATTACAAAATATCACTGAAACTAGTCTTTGGGTGTGTATAGCAAATGCAGGTCAAGACTTGGCTTCATTTCATTTTCGTGATAATTTCACGTGAACACTAATACTAAAAATGAGAAGAGCAGGCTGTGTGGGTCAGCTGTTAATGATGCTGTCATGTTAGGGAGTCTCCTTTCTCAAGAGAAAAGGCTGACTCATGGGCTATATGGCTGGCCTACTTTTACTGGGACTGGAAACTGGTTCACAGCATACACACGCATACAAGACACAGACGTGCACACAGGCCCAGTAGCTTTGCAGCACTTCAAACTAAAGCATGCAAATTAAAGTCAGCTGCAAACAAAAGCCATAGTTAACCCTTTAATGTCCACACTAAAAAACTAAATTGTAAATTAACATGTTGATATTATGGCTGAGATGTTGTGCCATAGTAAAACAAAAATTAAAATAGTGCAGACATTACATACACTTAGTATGTCCAAAACTGATGGTAAACATAGCTCATGCAGGTTTGTTTCTACAGTTTTTAATTTGATACAACACAGTTAATAAAACGGTGCTTTACAAAGCCAT